TGTGGCCTGATTCTGCCTCTTTTTTTATTAACATATTCCCCTGATGGAGCCGCGGCGCTGCAGTGATGTTGAGTCTAAACATCTCTGCACCATCTGCGAGCTGTGCTTCACGTGTTTTAGTACGTGTGTTTATGTTTTACTTGATGTATTTTATTACTGTTACTTTATGATACATGTACATCTACTATAATACTGTAATAATTAGGTTCTCCTTGTCATTGCTATTTGGATGATGCAGGTGATGGTGGTGATTTACTTTAATTTCGGTGCTTTTTGATTTGATTCACCATCTGCAGGTGTTCCTGAACGCTCATTAACTCACCTGCACACCTGAGGCCCATCCCCCATTCAGCAACCCAACCCAGCTGCAGTGTTGATCCCACCACGCTCTGACCGTTCTGTCACTTCTGCTGGTTCAAAACTACGTCCGCACTCTTTTCCCTGCAAAGCTTCCACCCACCGTGACGTCACCCGTCTGAGAACACGCTAACGCCCTCGTCTGCTGTGAGTTTTTACAACAAACATCTCAGAACAGCTTCGGTCAGTTGATTGATGAGAATCTGTCACTGACCTCTCGTAGGTGTTGATGATCCAGTCGAGCAGAGCGTACAGGTCCCTCAGCTCCGTCGCCTGCTGCTCCAGCTTCGTCAGGTGCTGCCCCACGACCCTGTGGTAGCTCTCCACGTAGGTGCTGAAGGCTCTGAAGCTGGGCGGGTACGAGCACCGCAGCTCCCTCTTCACGTTCTCCAAGTCCTCCACGATGGCCTTACCCAGCAGGCCCAGGTGAACAGCCAGCGAGGAGGCGTTCTGCTCCCTCTGCTCCAGGTGAACGCTCTCTACCTTCACCTGCACGCCCTCACCCACCGCCTCCCTCCAGGCCTCCATCCAACTGTCCGTCAGCCCCCCCGCCTCCTCGGCTCTCCTCTCCTCCTCCTGGATGATGCGGGCCACGGGGACCAGCAGCGCCTTGTTCCTGGAGGGAAGAGAGTTGGCGTCGCGCACTATAGTGTTGACCTTGTTCCTCAGGTTTCCATAGAGGAGGTTGAGGTCCTTCTCCTTCTTGACCAGCTCTATGGGCGAGTCCTCTCCACAGCGCTCCAACTCCTGCTGGAGCTCCTGACGCAGGGCGAGCAGGTTCAGGTGAGCCTCCTCCAGCACCTCCATCTCTATCAGCTTACTGATCTGCATCACTGCAAATACACACAGTGGATGGTTAATGTTACACACACACACACACACACACAACAAATCCTACAATATAAAAGCTATTAAACAACATGTAGAGCAGATGGATATAAAAATATTCTGCATTTGGCCACAAGTTCTCAATCCTCCGTCAATCTGGTTAAGAATAATTTTCATCCCTGATCCTGAACAAGAGTTCATCACTGATCATGTGACTGGTCAGAAACATTTGAAGAAGAAAAGCAAGGGAGCAAGAAAGAGAGGAAGAAAGGCGAGAAAAGAAATCCATCCAGCTTAACTGAAAAAGAAGAGGAAGGAGGAAGAAAGAGATGAGAGGAGGAAGACTGAGAGAGGAAGAAGAAAAGAGGAAACCACTCAAACCACTGACTCTTATCTGAGGCAGCATTTTAAAGAGTTCAGACGGTCGGCGTCTGAAGACGAGCTGAACCTCTGAGTAAAAGATTCCTATCTGTGCCTGTTGCCAAAACAGAGGAAGATAAAGAAGAGCAGGTTGAATGTGCAGACAGAGAACGAGTCAGGAACCAGAGTGAGACAAGGTTGTGTTCACATCCTGCAGCTCTGCACTGAGTCTTAACCGAAGGACGACAGAATTAGCTTCTACGATAAGAAATGAAAACAATAAGGAGTTAGAGAATTATTCCTGGAGACGCCGGTAGCTGCAGTGTGAATGTGGAGCACAGAGTCGTTCTGTGTTGATTTCAGACGTGAACTCTGGAAAATGACGATGTTGACATTTTCGTCCTGACGTATTTGAATTCTTCCAGTTTTGCTTGATTGAAATGTCAACGCGTCAACTCGCTCGCTATGGACTCACGCTCACATTCTGCGGACATTTTACGGAAAAAGTTCTAGAAAATAACCAGAGCAACTTACGTGGACATTTGGGTCTGTATAAATTTAAGGTCGTGATGTTTTAACGTTATGATCCGGGTCTTTAAATGATCTTTTATCATAATTCATTGGTGATTTTGCAAAGGATTTTCTGTGTGAGGCACTTTGAACCCTCGTTTAGATAAGTGCTGTACAAATAGAGTTATCAAACAGCCCCTCTGTCAAATGTCTGGACTCAAGGTCGTGTCTGAAAGCAGCTTTTGTTTCTCGTCTTTACGTCTCACACAAGAAGACGCTCAGGCCAAGACGTCTCCGGTGACACTAACTGCCACCAGGGTGCCTTTGAGCAAACCCTCTGTGGACGCAGGTCATACAACATGTGGGACAGACTGTACCTGACAGTGGTGTGTGGGGCAATTCCTGCAGTGTGTACATTTCCTCTAACTCCTCCTCCACCTCCTCCGTCCTCTCCTCCGTTGAGCCCTCGGTGACGGTGTTGAGCGGCTCCTGTTGGCCTCTCCGCTCTTTTTCCTTCTTGGTGGTGAACATGCTTCGACGAAACGACCTTCTCACGAAATTCTCCCTGGACGCAGACATGTTGGGATCTGAGGATGGAAAACATTTAATGGAACGTTTTGGTTTCTGGTCTTTTTGCTAGAAGATTTGTTTCTTCTCTCCTCACCCGTCTTCGAACGCTTTAGAGGTTGGCTTCTCTGGGAGGCAACATCGCTCTCATCGTCCTCTTTTCTCTGGAAGAAGCTGCCGAGGTTCTTCAGAGGAGAGACGACCGGAGAGCCGGCGCTCGGACCTAAAAGAGAGAAACAATAATACCTTTTCAGTCCGAGTGGCTCGACACCTCCCTGTTTCACAGTCACATCTCTGTTTGTCAGAAAAGAAATCAAGTTTCATTTTCACACTTCATGTTGCGTGTGCATGATTTGGCTTCATCCTAAACTGTGACCTGAAGATAAACCCTCTGGGGAACGCAGAGACTGAGTCATGATTTGAATCTCCCTACAGGGATAAATAAGGTACTTCTGATTCTGAGTTAAAAGTAAAAGTAAGCGGTGGATTAAAGTATTTCAAGTTTCGTGTAATTTCATACAAAGTACTGCTTGTTTACGTTTTATTAACGCACCTTAAATTTGATTGGGTTCATCTCAGGCCGATAGGATAAACCATAAACAAGAAGGGAGAGCGCATCCCTCGTCCAACACTTCTACATCTCGCCATGTAAAAGAAAGTGAAACAGTCTCACTGGATCTGTTTATCTGGATCCACCCCTCAACCGAAGGGGGTTTTCTTTGGGTCAGTGTTATGGAATTCAGTTCTGTAGCTAACAAACAAACAGCAATGAAAACATAAGCTCCGTGGCAGAGGTCGTAAAAACCAGTTAAACGTTTTGCAGTGATATTTTACAAACTTAAAATCTATAGCGGAGGTCACGCAGGGATGTGTTTCCACATCGCCAGCACAGGTTTTGTGTTTTAATGATTCTCAGTTCTTCTTTCCGCACCGTGTTCCCACACTGTTGCTCTTTCCACCCACACACACATCACCCACAGCTCAGTCAAGAGAGTTCACACACACGTTCTGCCGAGAGTCCAAGGTGTGAGAATATTAATTTGAGGAGAATTATGTGAAGCGGCAGCGGTGAACAGTCGCCTCACAGCAGGGACGGTCTCAGTGTGTCGGAGTTTGGTTTCACATCGTGATTTAGGGACTAAAGAATTTTGTCTGACATACGTACGTCCCGTCTTCACCACCTACGTGGGCGTCGTCTACCTGTGCTTGACTCTGATTGGTTTGTAGATGGCGTCTACCTGCAGCTGCTTCCTGTCCCTTTTCTTCCTCTGTTGTTTAATGTTGTCTCTACTTCCTGTGGTTATTAGCCCAAAAGTGTTTTTGGTGATTTCACACCTGATCTGACGAAAAGTGAAAAGTCCGATGGTGCGGACCAGACAAGCTGTGAAAGTCACGTGACTCTCGTTAAATCGCGTGAGAAGTGACGTGACTGAACTTTCCGAAGCGGCTGTGACTGTTTACCAAACAAATCCGTCTCCTCCTGATTGTCACTGAATCTCACCTCGTGTGTCCTTCCTCTGACCTTGAGAGGACGTTACTGTCCCTGCACCTCGTCTCACAGCAGGTTTCCATAACAACCCTGACGGTACTCACTGGGTGATGAAGGCAGCTGTGACCCCGACTCATTTCCAGCTGTGTCTGCTGGACGCGTGACCTTTGACCCTTTGCCTGGTAAAAGCGGGTTCTTCTCCGCGGCGCGTCTCATGCTCCTCCTGAGCGACTTCATCACGCCCAGTGTCTGCTTCACACCGCCATTGGTGGGCGTCTTCACGTTGCTCTTGAGAAACACAGTGTCCTCGTCCGGGCTCTCGGTGGATCTGTCCTCCATTTCTGACACCTCAGTCCTTTAGATATCATCCAGACATGAGAAGAAGAAGAAGAAGAAGAAGAAGAAACATGAAATTAAAGGTTGAAGGCAGCCGAGGAAATCTGCAGCTCTGACCGGAGCCTGTGGGAAACTGAAGCTGAGGTGTTTTTAGTCATCGTGGCTCCGCTCGGTTTTGTTTACAGAAAACACGACGA